TTTTTTCTCTAGTTTTACAAGACTAGAAACTTACTACTATCACTAAAAATAACTAGAAAAGCAAAGATTTAACTAAATTCAATAATGAGAAGGACTTCTGTTTAGTTCAACTCAATCGATCATATGGTTGATATTATGGTAATAGTGCAATGAATTAATTCTTCTATTGGCTATCGATTTAATTAATTAGATTCACATTCGTTGCACTAATCCTTAGAGAACAAACTAACTCAAACAATGATCAATTGTCTAATAATTTAATACACTAGATTATTTATTCAGGTTAATTTAGACTTGTAATAGCTAACTAATTTGTTCCTTTAGTTAACTTCTTGTTGATGGTCATCATACAAGCTCACACATGAATTTACCTATTTTTTTCTTATTAATTATAGTTTCATGTTCATTAATCCTAGACATATGACAAAGTGGCCACATAACATATGAGGTTGATAATTAAAAGATGTTCATACTATCTAATTATCTTCCTATTAACAGAAAAATAGTTATCATCCACACATAAGGTTCTTTAACAAGCTAAAATCAACAAATCACCAACATTGAATTAATCCTACCATAATAATCAATCCATAGTATGAATATTGTATCCCCAAACAGAAGTTTAAGAGTTTTAGCTCATGTTTGAGGTAATAAACAACATAAAAACGAATTCTAATTGTCTAGCCATAATGGAAAACAAAAGATTAAGTAGAATGATGTAGTTTTGCCTCAAATCTCCTTAGGGATTGAATTCTAGGTTGTATCTTCGTTCTTCAGGTCTCTCATGGCTCTGATTCGCAGCTTACTTCTCCCCAAGGTTCTAGAATGTTGAATGTCGATCTGGAAAGCCGTATATATAGATTCGACCCGACTTGCCGAGTCCATGTCCGACTCGCCGAGTCCATAACTTAAATCTCGTGTATTGTAAGTCACGAAGTCCTTATCTTTTAATTATCTTCTCGATCCTTCGCTCGGACTCGCCGAGTAGACGACCCTACTCGACGAGTAGGTGTTTTTTTGGTGGTTTTTCTTCTTTGCTCAATTCCCAAGCTCCAAACCGCTTCTCCTACTGCCTTTCGCTTCCAAGCTTCAACTTTGGACTGAAAACATAATACAAGCACTTTTAAGTATCTTTTGTCCATGAAATGCAATAATTTAGCTAATAAATGATAAAAATCAAGACTAAATATGCAATTATCACTGCCTATGCAAGACCATAATGTGGCATGCAATTTACAACGACGTAGCAAGACCGTTTTCAGCCTATAAATAGTTGCAAGGCTTGCCCCCATTCCTCACAACTTTCATTCCAGCTCCTTTGGAGAACCCCCCTCTTTTATCCCCAATATTCCAAGGATTTCAACTACTTTAATTAGCGAGACTATAAGGTATCTAGGAGCCCGAAGAAAAGAAGTTTTTCCTTTCATTTGGGCTTTATTTTGTATTAAGTTTTATATTGAGTTTTATTTTGTATTAGGTTTTATATTGGCCTATTAGCTAAAAAGCCCTAATTAGCTAGTCTATATATCATGCATTTTCCTTTCATTATATATTGTACTTCTCATTTGATAATAATACGAAACTCTAGCCGTTCTATCTTGTTAGTTTACAATAAGATCATTGGTTTTAGCGTCAATAGTGGTTGTAGGGCAATGGAGATGCCAAGTGGGGAGGGGCAGAGAAGTCGTATAACGACGTGTCGATGGCCAAAATAAGGTATAAGTCTTATATGTCTTTCAACCTTTCACAACAATTTTTCCAGGAAAATGTCCACCATTTAATAATTAAAAAATGCCCAATAATCTTTTAGACAGAGAAAGAGAGACAATCTTGCACAATTCTTCATTGTCAAACCCTTGCTTTTTAGGAACACCGCTCAAAGGGGCATGGTGTATTTGTGCCTTGCCCAAGGCCACTTTGTAGTCGGTGCTGTTGCGGGGCATGTACACTTGGGTAGTGTTTGTTTTTTGTCTGCAGATCTGCGTAGCCTCTTCTGTCTGCGCCGCGCAGACCATGCGCAGACATTAGCATTCACAGACTGTTTGTTTTTTTTGAAGAATGCAGACTTAAAAATGTGTGTGCACCCTCTTCTTGGCGCAGATGTGGAATAGAGTTTTCAAACATCTCCTAGCCTAAACACACACACACACACACACACACACATATATATATATATATATATATATATATATAAGTTTTTTTAATTTATATTTTTTCCAACTTTATTAATGATAAACAATTTGAAAAAAAAATTACAAATCTTAAAAAAAAAACGTTCGACGATACAAACATGATATTTTTGACAAATTTGTAAATAAAGATTTATTACAATAATAGTCGTTGAAATTGTTTATATAAATATGAATAAAAATCATTATATAATCTTATATTTTTTTGCCAAATTTTGTAAAATATTATTTAATACAGTATTATCAATTTTTCAAGAAAATATTTATGGTACGTTTTTAATGAATTTAATTGAAAAAATCGAAGTTATTTCAGTCAATTTATGTAAAAAAATTTTGATAACTAATTATAATGTTTAGTTATAACGTTGCAACCAAAATTGTTGGTTTTTATCAAATATATACGTTAACTCATCATTTTTATTTTTATTTTTTATACAATAATACATAAAAGTTGATTTAGATTTGTTAATTATTTATAATAAAGTCATAAAAATATTAAAAAATCACTTTGAAATTAAAAAAAATCAGTTCATTTATATTTCAATTTATTTTAATAGTCTGCAGATGTTAAAAAAAACAATCTTCTTTTTTCAGACTGCATACGTTTGGTCCATCTCTTCTACTGTAGAGATCTATAGATGTGGTCCGCAGACTGCAGTTACTTAGAAAAAACAAATACCAAATTAATTTCCTTAGGACTTGTTTCAATATGTTACACAAATGGGCCCTAAAGCTATCAATAATGTCACTAAAACAAAAAAAAATAAAAATAATAGTATGATGATGGTAATTGATGGAGTTAGTATGAGGACCATAAACTTTTGAAAATTACAAGATGAGCCATATTAAAATTTTAAAATTTGGACTCAAAGTGTCCGATAACCCAAACCGTAATTCATTTACCGGGAAGAAAACCAATGGAATCTTGAGTATACAACGGAAGTTGAGTGCACACCACGACTACGTCAATTAAGAACTTCGGACGGTTGTTTAAAGTCGAATTTGGACGGATTGAGATCAAAACTCTATCAGATAACGGTATCGTTTTACTGCGATGGTTGGTTCGTTTGCACATCAGCCATCGGAATTCTCGATTTCCGGGCTCGGAGCAAGTCCCAAACCTTTCCATCTCATCACCAACGCCGCCGCTCTCCGCCTTGGTCGCTTCCTTCGTCACAGTCTCGTCTCCCATCGCCATCACTTGGAGTCTATTCTGCAATCACCTTTAACGGCAAGTCCCATTTCTCCTCGTCCTGTTTAATAAATAACACATAGAACTCAATTAGCTTCATGAATATCGGATGACTCCGCGTTTTCAACCAATTGAATTTTTACCTGACTCAGAATTAGCACTTCTTGCAATTTTTACATCAATGTCATGCTATTCAAGTAGTTGTCGCATTTTGTAACTTGTAATTGGATCTTCGAGCCGAAAAGGGTATTTCATTGGAACTTAGAGTGTATTATGTTTTGCCTATAATATTTGTTAATTGTCGAACAGATTCCTCATCTTATTCATGTTTTCCAGTTAAACGGAGTGTCTCGGGGAAGATCACACCAATTACAATGGTTTAAACTTCCTCAATGGCCTCAGGACACCATTTCTAGCTGCCTATTGTTTTTTGGTGGAGAAGGAAACCAAACCAATTTTGGAGACCAAGAAAAGGCAAACTTAACAACTCCCACAAGAGGTCCAGTTAATAGAAGGAGATTGACAGATACATTACTTGCCATTAATGTGTTGTAAGTACATGTACATCCCTCTTACTTCTGTAGAGGTCAATGGAAGGGAATTTAAAGAGGTAGTTTGTATTTTCAGGGTATATATTGCACAAGTAGCATCAAAAGGACAGTTGTTAATGTGGGGAGCAAAGGTTAGATCTTTTGAAGAAAAATTACTTATTGATAAGATGATTTAGATGCTATATGACTTTTTGTAACTTAATAGTTAAAAACTTGTGGTTAGATTAATGGTCTAATTGACAAAGGACAGCTATGGAGGCTAGTTACATCTGCCTTTCTACATGCAAATCTCGGACACCTTATGGTCAGGTTTGAGTTTTTCTGCTTCAGATATCGTATTTCCAATAATCTCTATGTAGTACTTCTAAACAAGCTAAATCATTTTAGCCCTTTTCAGATTAATTGTTATTCTTTAAATTCCATTGGCCCTACCATGGAGCTTCTTAGTGGCCCCAAAAGATACCTCACAGTTTATCTAGCCTCTGCAATCTCAAGTAATAACATTAACCTATTACATGTGTATGTATGTATGTATGTATGTATTGGAGAGAGTTCATTTAATTTGGTTATTTTACAATTGTAGGTTCAACAACAAGTTATTGGCTTAATAAATCACCAGCAGTTGGCGCATCTGGGGCAATCTTTGGATTAGTAAGTTTTTAGATCTTGAAATAACATGTTGAGTTTTCATTTCTTTATTATTTTTCTAAATACCTTAAATGAACTCATGGGAGTGTAATAATTAAAATCTTGAAGTGGAACAAAATGCTTTAAGTGGAACAAAATAAAAGTACATTAGTATATCTTGTATTCAACCATTTTATATGAGATTCTTTATGAAATAGGTGGGATCTTTTTCCATATTTGTGTTGAGACACAACAAGATTGTTAAAGGTGGTGTAGGAGACTTGAAGTATGTTGCACGTGTGATCGCCTTAAATATGGTAGTAACAACACATCTGATCTTATTGCTTCTATTTTCTTGATTTATATATATATATATATATATATATATATATATATATATATATATATATATATATATATATATATATATATATATATAAGCATCAAACTTATGTGATCGATAATACTCTTGCAATGTAGGCTATTGGGCTATTGTCACAAAGTATTGACAACTGGGGACATGTGAGTAGTCTTTGATCACACTTTACTTAAATTCACATCATCACCCTGTTTAGGTTATATCTTTTGTCTCTTATTAAATTTTTTTAAATGTTTATACTTTATCCAGCTTGGAGGGTTAATAGGTGGAGTTGCTATATCATGGCTTATTGGTCCTTCATGGAGGTTTGAATCATCATCTCATCGTGGAAGAAGAATACTTGTTGATAGAGCACCTATTTTCTCTCTCCCTGGCACAAAACAAGCATCTCAGTAAAATCTATTTCACCAACAATATGTATTCATTTCATCCACAAATACAAAATAAGGCTTCATCCGCTTCTGATAAATGATAATAATATATATACAAAGGTTGTTTCCATTTTTTGTAAATGAGTTTGCTTTGATCCTTCATAATAGGCAAATGCGTGTGGCATGTGAGTGACACTATTGAACTCCAATAACAAGATAAGAAGACTATTTTCCATATGTTGAAAGTGTAAAGAATATGATTCCAATGTTATACATAAAAAAAAAAACGTTGATAATCAACAACAAAATCTAGATTAGTTTCTTCTTTTGAAAGAAGTGTGTCAAGTACCATAGTTGTGCAAAAGAAGCTGCAATGCAAATACCTAACGACAATATACTGTACATTGCTACTCGAGAATGTGTGGTTTCACTCACTTCTCTCATCTGTGCCTCCCTACATAACCATATACAACCAAACAAACCACGTTTCATATTAATTAATTAATAAAATGAAAACAAAATATAATATAAGCACATCACCTGCTCTTGATGTAGAGAAGATTATCATGAATGGCCTCCACAGCTCCTTCCAGTTTTCTCAACTCAAGCTCAACACCCTATAAGCAATTCAGATTTGTTTTCTATCTATATATTTTTATAAAAGATAGCAATTAGCAAAAACAAAAAATAGTCATTTCTTACCTCGATTTTTTCTCTCCTTGCAACTGAGTCCCAATCTTTTGCTGCAATTCCAGTTTTCCAGTCAATGTTGACACTTAAAGCTCCACCTTGATTAGGGTCATCTGCCCAAAAGCACACCAGATATTGCCCAGCCTCGTTTGTTGTGAATGCAAATTGACCATTAGTTGCATTCTCTTTGTAGTGAAGAATGTTTCCATAAGGTGATGTCACCTACGTACAAAACTTTAAAACTAAAAACCCTAGCTCTTATCAACCTTTGTTCCTTAAAATATTAAATTGGGGCTTAATTTACTTTCAAAGTTACTGTAATTCACAATCCGAATTCGTGCTTCGTTACATATATCACATACTTGTTCGATGTTATGACCACGAAACAAGCTCAGAAATCACATATTTTCATAAGGTTATGTGTGAAATATCAACTACATATTATATATACATGCAGCGAGAAAATGAAATTACCTTGGTGGTGATGGAGGGAGTGGGGTGAATATGAACATTAGAAATGACGACGTAATCAGCCAAAACGACGACATTGGTATGGATTTCCTCCGTCACACACTTCCTTCCCGATTTGGGTAAATTCAACCATATGCACTCGCCATTTTGCACCACGATGAGCATCATTAACAACATCATCTGGAAATGGAACAATACCCTTGCTTTCTTCGTCATCTTCACGCAGTCTCTGTATCGCTGAATCTGGTTTCAGGAGCTGAGATCAGAGAACTGTTCGAAGTTCGGATCTTTCCGATTTTTCGGGCGTTTTGTATTTTCTTCTTTTATTTATACGACAGAACATTATGTTTGTGTTAGTTTTGTGTCATGGGAGAGACACGCGTCACTTTGTTGTTAACAACAATATATATGTTTGTTCAGGCTACCCGGAGTGGACGTCTATGAAGACGCGTGATGCTGATGTGGCATGCCTGAAGACGCGTGAACACCGCCCCAAGGGCCGGTGTTCTTGGTGTGGCGTGGATCGGAAGACGAAAGAAGACGGAGCTTTCTATTGGTTGCTTCTTTTTTGCCCCCTATTTCCGGTGGTTTTGCTTTTAATCTATCGAATTGAAAAAAAATAATAATAATAAAAAATAAAGAAGAAGAGAAGACAGGGAGGAGACCCGTTTTACAGAGAAATCGGGTGAAGAAGACAACGAATTGCACATTTTATATGATTTAATTCAAATTACATATTTGGTCCCCGAGATTCTGGTATTTAATCTTATTATACCCTTTCATTTTTTTTTGAATTATGTTAAACCCTTAACTATATATAATTAATTATGTTTATTTACATTAATAATATGTTTATTTGAATTTTTAATTAGTAAAATGATTACTTATGTTTATAATAATGTTTTTTTTTAATTTAATCTAATGTTTTAAAATTAAAAAAATAAAAAATAAATATTGTTAGTGGTGATCATTTCCAAGGTTTAGTGGGTTGGGTGTGAAGCTGACATGACGCATAGGTGACAACACTTTTCCGGTGGAATGAGTGTGACCACTCCGCATAGCCTCAATAATCAATATTGTATTGGAAAATTGAATATCAATAACTTTAAAAGATAACTTTTTTTCCCACTTATAAATATTTGGTTATTTTTGTTTATATTTGTAACTTCAACTTGTTTAACTATATATTTAGTTATTTAGTTTTTATTACCGGCTATTTTAGCTAAATTTTTTTTACATATTTAGTCATTAATATTTTTTTATTGCAAAATATATACTTATTGTTTTTGTAAACATTCAGTATTTATGGACAGTTTTTTTAGTTTTTTCTTACGACATACTACATAGGACAATCATTAATAAGGTGTTCGGGGCTGTTCATGCTTATGACCCCTGCGAAATCGATTGTTTGGTGCTTTGGTCTTATGTTCTGAACGTCGTAATATCTTACGATCTTGGATCTTAACGATTTTTATCCATGCATTTGTATTTGACTCTACTACAAATTTCGTTTATATTACTCATGTTAAAAGACCCCGGACACCTCATTAATGATTGTACCACATAGGATGTCGTGATAAAAACATAAAGAAACCGATCATAAGTATTGAATATGTACAAAAACAATAATAACTTATTTTGCAACAAAAAAATAAAAAATATTAAGGACTAAATGTGCAAAAAAAATATTAAGGATTAAATATGTACAAAATAAGAAGTATATTACCCTATCAAGTTATTTTTTCTGGTTTATCTAGAGTAGTTGGTCATAAGGTCTGAATGTGTATAATTAAACAAGTTGAAGGGGAAAATATGGACGAAAAAAACTCGCTGACCAAACGTGTACAAATCGAAAAATATATCACTCTTTTAACATTATCCCTTATATAAAATAGTGATAGGTAATTTTTTTTTTTATAATTTTGACATTTATCTTGATTCCTTGAATGATAAAGGTTTGAGACATTTAGAGAGAGGGAGAGAAAGAGAAGTTTGATGAATGTTTGATTTTTCATTATTGAAAAGAAACAAATACAAAAGAAATCATTCTAGCATATAAAAGATGGTTCTGATACAATTGATGAGTTTTGATACAAAATATAATGTTTTTTTTTTTTTTTTTCATAAAAACCGGCAACAGAAGTTTTCAATTAACAAATTTATTTTTAGTTTATAACAAAACCAAACCATCATGGATCCATTTATAGATGTTAGAATGTAATAAAAACAACCAAAAAGTTTTTAGAATGATAACCTTTGAAGCTTTTGAACCCACTTGGTTTTGGGGTGTTGATGAGGATAGTAAAAAATCAAAGAGTATGATTTTCTCTATGTGTATCCACCATCAAGAGTAAGACACTTGGGATGCTAGTTCCTTCTTGTATTCTTGAGTGTCTTAATCATTTAAGTGCTTAACTCAAACAAGCACTAAATGAGACAACTCAAGGAAGCTTTAAAGCACCAAACTAACTTCAAAATAAAGAGAAAAGGAGGATATAGAGAGAATTTCGGCCACAAGCTTTAAGTGAAGTATTAAGACAAAAAACTAGTCAAATACATGCAAGACACATCATTTATATATCCCCATGCAAGGTAAGGGCTTTATAATAAAATACTCTAAAATATTTGTAGCCTTTAGAAGCATGAGGATACAAAACATGGAGGTTGAAAAACAACCTCTATATTAATTTATTAATTTTGGCCATACCTCTCAAAAGAGGGCAAATTCTTTAATTTTTATAAACTCTAAGTTTATAAAATATAAAATTTATCTTTAGGTAAAAGACAAAAGAATCCAACTAGTACAAAAAATTATGCATGACTTGTTAATTTATACCATATGAAATAATAATTAGTTATACTCTCTTGTAATTATTATTTTCACAAAACAATAATTATTTCCTAATTAAAATTACAAGAATTGATATTATTTATTAATATCATATTTGTAACAGACCAAATTTTCATAAAATCTTTAAACTTTTATTTTCATAACATCAACCATAGTAAATATAAAAATCTCAATACATATTCATGTTATTTTGAAAATTCAAAGTACAAAGGACCAAATGTGTAAACACCGAAGAATGCATGCCTCGTCATCAAGTCGGGCCATTGCCCTTATCAATACAACTACCTGAAACATACAAATAAACTGTAAGCACAAGCTTAGTGAGTTTCCCAATCACACAAAACATATAATCACAAAATGTCATGCTCATACATATACATACAAATTACCATGGACTCCCTCCATGGTCTTCAATGAAATGCCATGAGCTACCCCCATGGTCTTACATCCTTAAGCCATTGGCTCCCCCCATGGTCTTGACAAGTTCCATGGGCTCCCCCATGGTCTTCACATAAACCCATGCATAAATCAAATAACATATCATTTCCCATTCAATACAAACATATCATAACAATTAACAGGCCGGCCTTGGTGCATTCGACCCATGAGTATGGTAAGAAGACTCACCTCAAATACTACCAGTAGCTTAATAGTCCCTAGCTCCGAGTATCTACTCTACTCAGTCCCGAAACATAAACACCTCCTTAGATCCAACACATTGCTTCAAACCCTAAGAGTCAACATTAGTCAAAGTCAAAGTCAAGGTCAACATTTCGAGTTGACTAAACTCATCGAGTTTGGCTATCAACTTGTCGAGTTCCCTTGCTAACTGGCTGGATCGTGAAATGTCCCACCAACTCATTGAGTTCACTCATGAACTCGTCAAGTTGGCCAGAAAACCCACTTCTTAATGCATTAAGCCGTTCCATTTTAATCCAAAGACTCCAAACCTCATATCCCTTTCAAAATGATGTCTATAAGAGTAAAAAGTTTCTAACTTTACCCTCAAGGACCATCCCTAAAGCTTCAAATTCAAACCACATGTCCTTTTAAGAGGTTCTTGACCCATTAAGCCCTTAAACTCTCACTCCAATGTTCCAAAACACAGATTTGATGTCCCAATGTAGGCAAAGCACGTAAAGTTTCCAACTTTATGTGTATTCATGCTAATAATACCCTGTAAGGCTCATTTATGACTTAATAATGGACATATTGCATGAATGGGACATAGGGACTATTAAAGTTTGCAACTTTAAGCTTCAATAAGTCATGAAGGGGTCAGATCTAGCTTGACAACCCCTGAAATCCACATCTTTTGGACAACTCAACCAAAACCCCCCAAGATCATGCTTAAACTTCAAATAAGGAGATCTAGATGAATACATGAGAAGGTGACAACTTTATACCTCAAAAATGTTGCATTTGAAGAAGAGTTTCTAGATCTAAAGCCCTTCCTTCAAGCTAGATGCTTCCCACTTTCAAGCTCATTTCAAGAATCACCAAAAACACTCTTTTAATGTAACACCCATAAAAATCATGCCAATTTTGAACTTTTTAAAACATTTAAAGAACCCATAGTTATTAAAAATTTGTTTTCAAAATAGTCTATATCAGAGTCTCCCAGAAACAACGTCATAAAAAGTGAGGAGTTGTACGATCATGTATTTGCCTTGCCTCGATCCCCTGATGTACCTGAAACAATAAACTGAAACTGTAAGCCCGAGAGCTTAGTGAGTTACCCCAATCGAATCATAACAATCGACGTCATAAGTAGTATCACAACAATCGAATCATAGCAATCAACGTAAAAACAACCATTACATTACAATATGAATAATTACATCTGGTTGAAAACATAGTTTGTATACATCAAAAGTAGCAAAAAATGAAGACGGGACTCCAAAATGCTCCGTCTTCTCCAAAAGTTGGTAGATGTACCTGTCTATCGTTGTCCTGAGAATACAAGCGGTTTTGAAAACATATCATCAATAAAGCTAGTGAGTTCATAAGCATGTTTTTGTATTGGAAACTAGTCACTGAATTTGTACAAATGATTTCTTTTCATTTAAGTAAATATCATTTGTATCAAAATCATGGTTATCACCAGTAAGTGAGGTACGTTTCGTTTGAAAACCTTGGCTACCGTCAGTAAGTAAGGTATGTTCTATCGAAAACCCTGGCTACCGCCAGTAAATGAGGTACGTTCCGTTTGAAAACCCTGGCTACCGCTAGTAAGTATATAGGTAGTTTTATTAATTAAAATAAAACCAAAGGTTGTGTCCCTGGGATACCCTCCAGGAAGAAGATAGATACTTTTATTAATTAAAATAAAACCAAAGGTTGTGTCCCTAGAATACCCTACAACAAGAAGATAGGTAGTTCTATTAATTAAAATAAAACTATTGAAGAAACAAATCCCGTAAACAAATGTTAGTTTATACTTATTGTGAGTCATATAACCATGCAAATATGATCGGTGACCTCCTTGACGTTTCTTCAGGCGTCGTACGATTACAAAATTTGTCACCCCAGGCGTGCCTACCTAACTGTAGCTAACAGTTCAGGTGTGGGATTGTCGGTCCCGAATAGATCTATTCACAAATTTCACGTTCTCCCTCCAGGAGACTCTGGTTATACTAAAGATGAGGATTTACTGGTACCCCGAAGGGCATAACGAAGATAGGTCTCACAATCCTGTATTAATTGGTTTACGTGTAGTTCGGTTGTTCTCTAGTTCGAAATTGTTTGTAAATGGTGTAGAGTATAAATAATTATACACAAAATAATTATTTAGCAATATACTCTTGTTATCTGTAGATAGTAAT